TTTATATTTTTTTTCCCTCAAAACAAAAAAGGAATGATGTCATTTGATTCTTATTACTTGTTTCCGTTGTAAGGCAAAACCTTCTTGGACCCAAAAGAATAAAAAAATTACAGTGAAGAAACAGAGAATAACTAAAAATTCTGTTTAAAATTAAAATATTTCCAAAAGAAAAAAATTCATAAATTTGTGCAGTTAATTGTTTTAAAATTTATTTCTTTTTATTAAAATATTTTACATATGAAAGCATTTTAATTAATAAAAGACCAAATAAAATTTCCACAAATTATTACCAAAATATTTTTAATGGGTTTTACTTAATCAAAGCCATTGAACTTTTTACAATTTTAAGGTGCTTTCCGCTCGTTTTTGCCACTTTGGCATGAATTTGGTTTTTATCTTTTTAAAAATTTTATGTGATTAAAAAAATGGTAAAAAATGATAAAAAATGGTAAAAAAAAGTACTCCAAAATTGTGCGGAAGAGCAATTTTACGTAAAAATGCCTTCAGGGAACTTACGTTCAAATTTTTGTTATTTTTTCTAATAACTTAAAATTTATTTTAGGGCATTATTTTTAATTCTTTCTATGCCATAAGGTTTCACAATCTCTAAACTTGTTTCAATTGAATGTAAAAACATTTATCAAAAAGAATCTTATCGTTTAAAGAAAAAAAAAACGAATGCAAGTAACCACAAAATTCTATTTCCCGTGGTCTAAATCGCAACAGCAATGCATTAATAATATCGTTAGAGCAAATTTAATAGAAGTAATCATTGAAACCAAGATCTGATTATTAGTGCTTATTAAATAAAATAAGAAAACATATTTTCCACATTTTGCTTTCTTCAATGCTTCATAGCAGTTTAAATTATCCTCTGGCTTATGTTAGATACTTCATTCTCAATTCTCTTTGAAAACAATTTGTTTCGTTTGTCTTTAGTTTTCTTTCTAAAGTTTTCTATGTTTTAAGTCACTCAAATCAAAAGAGAATTAATAAATTTTTTATCTTTAGTTTGTAAAGAAACTTATTTTTTCTAATATGAACCCTTGTTATTGGCTCTGACAGTCAGGCTGTTCTTAAATCTCTGTCCTCTTGGACTTTTAAGTCAAAACAGGTCCTTAGGGAGTTTTGGGGTTTAGAAATGAACAAGCTGATGAGCTGCATTCAAAAACTGCTTTTACAGGCCCTCAGCTCTTTTGTGGGATAAACTTTGCCAGTACTGGGAATACTGGGAAGGGCTGGAGTACTGGGAAGACTTTCCAGGACTTAAACAAAGCAAATCACTGATAACACCGCACTCCTACAAACACGTCCTTAAATTCTCATAATATAATATAAGGTTGTTAACGGGTTTCAGTACAGATCATTACGGTCTGAAATAATCCCTTCATAAACTACAATTATCTGCTAATTTGAAATGCAGATTATGCCTCGAAGATGAGAAAACTACCATGCATATTATTTGTGACTGTCCAGCTTTAATAACGCACAGAAGAAACTTATTTCATATGGAATTTCTATCACTAGAACAGATTAAGAACTCTTCTCTAGATTTAGTTCTGGACTTTATTCATAAAGCTTTAAGGGGTTTTGTGTAATCAATAGTATACATATATAAATTTTTCAATATCAAAATTTTAGACGGCATTTTTTTTTTTATGGAGTTTTAGTTAATTTACGGGGGAACACTTAAGGCAGCAGACACAAAAATTTTCAGTATATTTATGACAAGTGATATGAAATGTCATAGCATAATGTCAAAAATGTGCTACAGATAATATTAGATATAAGAATTTTATTGAAGAACTATGTTCATGTTTATGGAATAAAAAATAAATAACCATTCGACACCACCTAACTAACCTAACTTTCCTGGGTTAAACACTGTGTTGGGCGCAGTGTTTCAGCACTTTTCAGACTATTATGGTAACATCCATTAAAAGAACTGAAGTTTCTACATGTTTACGTTTAAATGAAGGAGTCAACTTCAAAATAAACTTATAATTAGAATTTATATAATAGTTAATTGCATTCAGCACATCACGTCTTCAAGTTATTTTCACTTTTTTAAAATGTTCAAAATGTATATAAAAATATCTATATATATATTGTAAATGTCGTATCTAAAATCTTCATAAAAAATTCTTAACACATCCGCGTAGTTGCGAAACAGATTCGCGTGATGAATTTGGAATTCGGTCTATGTCAGAATATAATTTTTATGAAGACAACACTTACCACAATACCACAAAGAATTGTTTATGTAGGCGGCGACGACACGACAGCGATGCCTTATAAAGCGCGATAAAGCCAATAATCAAGAAAGAAATGCTGAAGAGCGGCTGCGTTGAATACACCAATGTTGGTACAGGAGTCACGTAAAATTGTAGGTGCGCGCGCACTTCGGAGTCAATTAAGAGACTAGCACATAAAATTCTTAGGCGGTTCACGTTAACGGATATGAACAAAGGGTTCTGCATTCAGTACATGGTACGGTAAACAAGAACCGATAACTTTATCATTAGCTAAAGAAACACTTGCGTGATATGAGGACGGCTTGTTTACATTTAACTATTATTTTCTTACTTTATTTCGTATTGTAATATGTATATTTAATTTATAAAAACAAACTACTGTTTTTAATGAAAGCAAAGAAACACTGTTTTTAAAATTTTTAATTAGTATTTATAATCACTGCAATTGTTTGAAATTTGCTAAATCGTTGCTTTAGTCACAATTTTCATCATTTATTTTGAATTATATTTTTCTATACTGCTTCATACTTTTACTTTACTTTACTATTGTATTTATTTTTAATTATAACACACAAAATGAACCAAAATAAATTTTTTAATTAACGCCGCTTACTTTTTGCAACTTTTTTGAAATTCAAAACAATAATTTTTTGCACTTTGAATATTTGTTTTTCATACTGATTTCGTTGTTCGATACTCGAAGTTAAATACAAAAACAGACCTGAACTAAACTGAACTGAACTTTAGTTCGAATCGAGCTGGCACCATTTATCCAACAGCACAATGCGATGTCTCAAAGGCGACTGAACGAGCCAAACAAATTCAAATAAGTTGTGCTTAAGAAAAGCTTTTATCGTAAAAACACGTTTAATATGTTTTTGTGTTTTTCAGTTGACTTTGTTTATGTACTCACCTGTCTTGTTGATGCTTTCGTACATTTTTATTATTATGTTCCCAGTTAAGCACACAACCAATGTGCAATTTTTCTTGCATTTTTGTTTCGATATTCCAAAAATAATAAATTCTATTGCTTGTCTTCTTCAAATAAACAAGCATATGTTTTCTTTCATTCATGAATTTTTACAAAAAAATGATCTGCTTAAAGCCGTAAAAATTAGCAATAATTTGCTTTGCCTAGTAAAGCCGCCATATAAACATCAATTCCAAATGCATGTTGCGGTCTTACTTGCTTTAACAGAATTGTTTTAATTTCTGTTAAAATCATAATAACAAAATATATGGTGTGTAGAAAATGTGGATTGTGTTCACTGGCTAATGCAAATTGTTGTTGCACACCTAATGTTCAAACACTTCAACAAAAGCTCTGAAATGTATCACAGCGAACTGCGACATCTTATTGAATTTATTATTTTTGCTATATTTTATGGGTCTTGCCATAATTCACAGAAGAAGTTGTACTCGTTAATGTTTATTCAAATTCAAACATAGAAATTATATTCTATGTTTTTGATTCAAGTTGTTTCGCGCCATTACTACAAAATCGTTTAATTCAAAATTGTTTTTGAGGAATGCAAAAACGTTATATGATAAAATATTTTAATACTTTTGTACCGTAATATATAAAATTATTTATTTTTAATCATACTTAGGAATATAATTAACTATTGACAGTCAATAGCTAAAAGATGTTATTGTATTTTAAATTACAATAAAAAATTTCAATAAATATTATAAATATGTAAGCATTTTTGTGTAAATCACAATAAAATTTTATAATAACAAATTTTAGCTCACTAAATTTAATTTTTATGTAATATATTTGTATATATCAATTAAGCTCGCACTGATTAAAATTATCGTTAATAAGAGAATATTAGTTTGGTAATTTTAAATATCATACTCAAATATACATTTTGACAGTGTTTACACTACTTTATTAAACGAATTTTACATTCTATTAAAGTGTGTTATGTATTTAGACGCATATGACATACAAAATCCACACAAAAATAAAAATGAATGCAAAAATATACGATATAAAAGCGTAATAATTTTTTAATTATACTTAGAGTTGAATGCCAGCGAGTAAGTATATATTTTATGTTAGTAAATCTATTTTATTTTATAAATTAATAAAATTTGCTAAATTTTTATAAATTACTGTTCAATTGAAAAGCAAATTAAATAAAGCACGAGTTCTTTCACATTAGTAGATACCATAGTTGTTTCACTATTTTTGCTGTCACTTCTTGATACCAGATATACAACAAAGAATATTAAAAAAAAAAACAAAACTGATACTGTATTAATATACAATGTTTGTACAACCATAATCAAAACCTTCGATAGCTCAGTTGGTAGAGCGGTGGACTGTAGTGTGATAAAATACGTAGATATCCATAGGTCGCTGGTTCAAATCCGGCTCGAAGGAAGTTTTTTTTTGAAATTATTTTATTTCATTCACTTTTTAAACATCTTTAATTTTATTTTATTTAAATCCAGAATTAACTAAAATTCATATTAAACGTGAAAAAAAATTTGATTATACGAATAACTTTGGATATAAAAACTATATGCAATACTATATAGGATTCATATAAAATACTAAGACAACATATTAATATTTAATATAATATAATGTAGCAATATAAAATATAAAAATACAATATAATATATATATAATTTATAATATTTTAATATAATTTTATTTTATATTTAAATAAAACTTAAAATTGGCCCATTTCAAAATAAATATAAACACAAATTAAAAAACTTTATTAAATAAATTGATGAAAAATAAATGAAAAAATAAAATAAAATAAATTGTAATATATAACACTCAAGCTACTTTTTGTAACAACTGCCAGGCTGATCGATTCACTGGATTGAGACGAATTGCGTGTTGAGTCAATATCTTTGACCACTGCCTATCTACGTCTTGAAGTGAAAGACCCGCTAATAAAAGAAGTTCAGCATCCTCTACAGCATTGCTCCTACAAACAGTTAATAATATATATTGTAGATATGTTAATGAAATATTGAATAATTTAATATAATAAACAAAATAAAAACAATTTAAAACTTACTTGGATATGTCAGTGTAGTGCAATAATTGTAGGGCACCCAATGAAATTTGACTAATGCAATTTGGTGGATATGTTAATCTATGAATGTTGTCTAAAATAAAATTGGCAATCACTTTTCGTAAGTCCGCAAGATGAGGATTCACATGCAGGCGTTGCAAAAGATAACGCAGAGCTTTATGAGGTTCATTCTATAATAATAATAAATACGTATATAAATACATAAATATTTCTTTAATATATTTTATAATTAGTTAACTAACTCTACTAAGCATATAATATGCCATTAAATAGGCAATATCAGCACAATGTTTGGGGGAATCTCGATACTGAGATAACTCCTCCGCTATAGATTTCCCTAGTGCAAAGTCTCCATGAAGAATACCCATAGCGCATGCAGCATATAATGCTGTTACTGGACGGTGTTCATCTAGCAAGCTATAACATAAATTATGTATAAAAAACATTCGAATCACAAACTAAAATTCGATGTCATACCATTGAAAAAGAATTTGTCTCGTGTCTTCCGGACCTTGCGGATATATTAATGATGTCATGGCAAGTAAGATTCCTGCAACATTCTCTTTATTGATGTCTGCAAATTTTTCTAAAACTCTGCCATATAGTTCATATGCCTCAGAACTATTTCCCGCGCGATGATAAGCCAAACACAAGCCAAGCATCGTTTTTAGTTTTTTTGTTGAAACCATATTTAAGGCTTTAACAGCTTCTTGAGGATCATTCATTTTTATATACAAAAAACCCAAGTTTGTATACATTGAATCACTTTGCGATTTTGATTGTGCTCTTTCAGCTGCCTTTAAATACGCTTTACTTGCGGCACGATAAAGATTATGCCGCTCCAATAAAAATCCATAGAATGATAATCCAGCAGCAGAAGCATTATTCTCTTCATATACGGAGTACCTTAAAAATATACATTTGTGTATGGAACAAATATTAAGAAACTGATTAAGTAAGAAGATATTTACCAATTTATACCGTCCAAAGCTACAATATCGGCATGCATAGTTTTTAGTGCATGTTGGTAATAAGGATCAGAAAGCTTTTCTTTATTAGTCAATGTGGAACATACCCAATTGGCGTACCCTAAACAAGCTTCAGAATTATAGCCGAGTTGCTGGCAATGACGGAAAATGTCCATGGATTCTTCGTCTTCTCCTAATATTTCCGCGATAAGTGCTTGACCTTTTTTATGAAATAAAATATAATTACCTTTTACATATATGTAACAATATTATTATAATATCTTATTTTATTATATATTAAAAATTTTTTCTTTATAAAAGACTTATAAAGACAGTATATGCAAAAAATAATAAAACAATAAAAAAAATAATAAAATGAAATAATAACATTGGCGTTAAATTAAGAAAAATAATTAAAAATTTTTAATTAATAATTAATTACTTAATGAATTAGTTAAAAAATTAAAGGTTTTTTTTCTTCTCCGTTGTAACTCGTATCAACGTTTCACGCAGCTAAAACAATAATTTAATATAAGACTAGGAGGGGGATTGAAGACGTCTTGATTTCTTGCAAAATTGCAAGAAAAATTTATTTTTGATTTACCTATCCAGGCGTTTTGGAAAACCGGATTTGATTGTTGTGCTCGTTGAAAAGCCAAATTAGCCAGTTTTATTTCCATTAATGATAGATAGAGTACACCAAGGTTCGTCCAAGCTGTGTAGGATTTTCGTTCAAAGTTAAGTGCTTGTATAAAACAATGTTGGGATAGTGCCAAATTTTTTACCGCTATTCAAAAGAAACCAATGAAAAGCAGTTGAATTTAATGATATGTTTGAATTTACTAACTAGGCTGCATATAAATTACTCCCAATAAATTCCAATTTTCCCAAAAATTGCTTTGTTTTTGGATAGCCATTTTGCAGGCATTTATCGCTAAATTCAAATGTTGTTCTGCATCATCTGGCATATACTGCGCGCTGTAGTAGGAACATAAAGCAAACTCATACCAGAGGTAAGTGTTCTCTTTTTGGGCTAAAGCACAAGTGTAAAATCTAATAAAAGAAAAATATTTTTAAATATGCTTCTATGATAGTATAAACCAGGGCTATGAATCGGTTTTAAACTGAATACATTTTAAAGCAAAACCTCAGACTTTTAGTGTAATTCATGAACTGAAGCATAATTCGAAGAACGGCAACATATATATTTCGGATCCGCTCATAAGAACAGTAGTGCCCCGCATCCACTAACAGAAACACTAGCTAACCATTGTGGGTTTCTGTCTGGAACCGTATGCGCAGAGACTACACAAATCGACTTTTGAGTTATACTGTAATACTTCAGGGTACTATACCACTGATCCGAATTATTTTACAAATTAATACTGTTCACAGCCCTGATATAAATTATATACACACCTGGTAGCCAGACTAAATAGGTCTCTTCGATCTAAACATATAATATCTTCTTCACGATTAGCCAATTTTCCTGAAACTTTCAAATTAGCCATAGATGTTGGCATCCTTGCGACTTTAACAAAGACATTAGCCGTCAAACGCCAAATCCACATCATATTTTTGTAGTCATTCAAACAGAATACTCTATAGGTAGTAAATATGATCAGACTTGAAAATAATGCTCCATGATTTTTTTATTATTGAAGTAAAAACCTTTGTAGATGATTAACAGCCAATTGCAAATGTTCCTTACATCTTCCATATCGGTGTTCTAATTTCAAATTATTAGCTAAACCAATGTGAGCATCAGCAGCACCTTTAAGAGCTGGCAAGTAGTTCGGATGTGAGTGCAGTAAATTATCGAAGTCTGTAATAGCTTCAGTATACATACGGATTGTCTAAAAATGTATAGGACTAAATTTCAGGCAATTTGTTTAAAATTAAAAAAATAAAGTTTCCAACCGTTTTAACTAGCGCGATTTGCAGTTTTGCGTATACATTATCAGCGTCCAATTCCAAAATTTTTTGAAAAACCCGAATTGCCGAATTATAAGAACCGCGTTGAGCATATGCATCACCTAAAGACTCCCAATAAACAACATGGTTTACATTATACTTAATTGAGGTCCGGAATGCTTGTATGGCCTGAAACATGTATGGCCTAATGAAAGATTTCGAACAAAAGGTTAGCTACGCAAAGTACTTACATTATCAAATTTGTATACTTTAAGGTAGTGTAGGCCAAGGTTATATTGCACACGTTCTGATTTCTCGGGTTGCATGTGCTTTAAAGTTGTTTGAAGCAAACTGACGTTAATATCCTAAGAAAATTTAAAAAAAAAAATAAATTTATACGATGATTTTTTTGATTTTTATTTAACTTACATCTTCCCCTAGCTGCTGGTAAATTATGCTTAGATGGTTTACGGCTTCTTCGCAGACTGGATTCAGATTAAGGCATTTCTCAAGGCACTTACGTGCGCGCTCAATATCGTTTGACATAAAATAACATTTACCCAAATATAGAAAGCATTCCGCTCGATAGGATTGTATTCTTGTAGCCTTTAAAGTCCATGTAAGCGATGAGGAATAGTTAGATATTTTAAAATAGAGTTTACCCAACAAAAAGAAACGAGAAAATGAATCTGAATCTTCAGAATGCTCAATCAATTCAATTGCTTCAACTGGCTCGCTTTTTTGAAAATTTAATATATTCTTTTAGTTTTTTATAAATATTATTATACATAGATAAATGTATATATGCATGTAGATAATTTTACTCACAGTAAGTACTCCGTTTTCGCTATATCACTTAATTTTAGCCTTTTCAGTGCATCGAAGTCTTTCAGTGAAAAATAACACCTAAAGAGTAAAAACTATAATTTTTATATTTATATATTATTATATAATATTTATTATATATTATATATATATATATATAATATATTTATATATATTTATATAATATTAAGATAATTTATATAAGTACCTGGCTAGTGCTTCAACAACGTCTATAGATTGCTCCAAAGTTTGCAAAAGTTTAATGGCACTCTTGTTCAGTTCTCTATCCGCAGTGTATGATGCACATATAGCATACATTTTGTTATTATGGATTTCATGCCACAAATTCATTGCTATTTCAAATGCTCCTAAAACCATATTTGTGATTGCAAGTAGATCTATAGCAACTATATTATCTGGAACCAAAGTTTTTACTTTGTTTAGCAAATCACGACAAGGCACGTATTGTTGCTGATTATAAAATATAATTGATTTTACCAAGAGTCCTAAACTTGATTTTTCGTTCAGTTGGACTAGTTTTTCACTGTAATGTTCAATTGGATATTCAAGTTCATTTTGCCAATCTTTGAACACATCATCTTTGTAGTACTCTGAATATATCTTACAAATCCATTCGTACGCATACTCATCTTCTGCATTCTGTTGCACTATTAGACTGGCATGTTTTAGGCAATTTTTATAATCTTGAAGTTTATACAGCAATTTTATATACTTTTTATACGTTCTAAGGTAAAGCTTATGTACATGTATTTCACTATGTTTCTCCTGATCTTTGTAATATTCAATCAAAAGTTCAAAAGTACTTTTAAGCTGAAATTAAAATTTAAAATACACATATGAAGAATCTATATTAACTATCGAGCGTTAATTTCTTCTACCGATTGGTCGTCCACATCCGATATTCTCACTCCGCTAACGCACATACCACACAGACTTTTCATTACAACATTTTTTCGATTATCATTAATATTGGTCTCTGCTTGCTGCTTCATAAGTTCAAAGAAATCCAAGAAAACTTGTGGATTTTGTGAATGAATGGATATTCTTTCAATACTTTCACAGTAATATTTATCTTCACTGAAATGAGTATAAATATTTAGAATGTTCTTTTAAATTAATAATTCAATATTAAAATTTAAAACATTATTAATTTGTGTCTAAAATAAAACAAAACAGTAAAGTAATATTGAATGGAACCTGAAACTCCAACTTGAACCTCTGGAAATAAAAGATAAACTATCCTGTAGAAATTTACGTTTGGAAATAACGTGCTGAGTACACAGAAAGACGTCTGTTGCTAATGTATGTGCTCTACACATCGTGTCGTCGCCTCTCTTTTTTCATGTCCACATAAATTTAAGCTTTTTGAATTTATAGATCAGTACAATCAAGGTGACAAAATTCCTTTATCTAAACCCACGTTTAGTTTATCTAAACCCACGTTTAGTTTAATTAACATTTCTACTTTTTTCACATATACAACCACAACATCATCATTTATTGTTATAAAACGTACAGATAGCTTTATTAGCAAGTATCGAACTACTGAACCTATCCACAGGGAAAAGCACTATACCATTGTTTTATTCGCACAATACCAACAAATATATCCAAATTCTAAATGCTCCCATAAACTATACATTCCATAACATAGAAGTAATCAGCATATAGTATTTAATTATTTACCTCTCTAATGGCAGTAGTTGTTTATACACATCCGGTAGCTCCTCTGTGGACACACAACCAATTAAACCCCGTAAAACTGATATTGGTGATCCTTTACATAGTTCTAACGCATCTCGTAAATGCTTTGCAGCCTAAATAAAACAACATTTTTTTTATATATTATTATATTTTCAGATTTATTGATATAAAAAACATACTCACCTCAATCTTATTGTTATTATTTGTATAAGCGGCACCTATTAACATATGACATTGGTAGCTGTTTGGATGTTCCTTTAGATATATCTAAGTAGGATCAATATAAAATTTAATAATATTTGCAAAATAGCGTAAAGAAAACATTATGGAATATTCTTACATTGCATTTCTCGATTGCTTCCGTTAATTTTTTTTCTTTAATCAGTCCATGAATTGTTACTAAATCCTTTTTTCTATCAGAATCACTCATATTTAAAAATGTATATTTAATGTAATTGTTTTAGCAAAAAAAATACATAAAAATTTATTACTAATTTACTTTATTACTTATAATTTATTTATAATAAACAAAATTTCCAAACAATATTTTTCTGTAATTATATTTGAGTTGTAAATCATATGTTTTTCATTTGTTTCACATTTGTATACATTTGTGTTATATCAAATGTAGATGGCGCTAGGCATTTGTTTTATTGTGGCAAATATCGTATATTAATATAATAATACGGTCTCATATATGGCAAACATATAAGACTTCAACATTTATTTTGTAAATTAAAAACATGCCATTTGAGAGAGTGTTATAAAAGTTAACCTATCAGACTCGATCTCAGCGTGATTTCCATCGTTTTAAAAAGATAATTTTGTAATACGTCTAGAATATGCGTTAAAGAACTTTTATTGATAATGGCTGACAGCCTACTTTTTGTCCCTCTTAAGTAGGAGGACCGACGAATGATAACCTGTGCAGATTATTGACTGTAGAACGTACCTAGAAATAATTTCACTCACCTCTTGCTTATCCTATCTACCTTTCCCCTACAACAACTCTTCCTACTACCCTACAAAATTTGTGTCTTATATGTACTTATTTTCTGCATGTTAATAGGTTAGAAAAGAATATATATAGGGTACTAGCTCCCGTCGGATCAGAATGCTGTCCCCATAGCTGATTTTTCGTTATGTTATCCGACCCAAACTGAACAGAAGACATTTCTCCCTTCGAATAAAGGCCAAAATGTCAGCTATTGTTCCAGATATTCTAATGGGTTACTAAAACTATCCAGTTTTTTTTACTATTCCTTTCACTTAATTTTTTCACATTTTAAGTGCTATTACACTTTAAGGGCACTTTTTTATTGCTTCGCTTTTTTATATCTATGACACTTTAATGTTATCAATTGGAAACAAGCTGTTGCATCAACAAAGACATCTTGAAAACGTAGTCATACCTGAAGATTAATCGATCCAACAGTCGCTTTTAAAACATTTTCAAATAAGTGATTTGTTTTTAAAAATACATTATGTTTAAGGTTTCGAAAACTGAAACCCCCTTTGTCTTACACTAAGTTCGTGTTCAATAAAAAATGTGCGTGTTTCTCTTTACTACTTATATTCAGTTAATATGATTATTTGTAATATTGTCTAGTGATGCAGATGAAGCTCTAAGATTAATTAAAATCCCACCCATTCTCAAACTATTCTTACTTCTAAACAATCGCTCCCTTCTCTCACACTGCTATTATCTATAATAGTCAGTAATAGGTAATGCTTTTCATGTTTTCTTCTCTCATCTCGCACTTCTATTGCCTATTCAGTAATAAGTAATGTCTTTCATGTTTTCTGCTGTAATAAACTCTGTGAACTACAACAACAACAACATGTCGTTAAATAGCCTTATAACGATTGATTTCAACGACAGTATTGATAATAGCGTTGTTTCTGCGATAGGACGTGAACTCGTGCAAAATGCATCATGCTCTCTTCGAAGCTGAAGTAGTACAATCTTCTAATGTATAGTATCAATAACACACAACTTCAGTTTCAATACTTTTCCTCTAAGTATTTGTTGTGCTATATAAGTATCTTCTCTATAATTTATATTTGGGAGTAAGATTCTTGTTTTCCGTAACGAGCAACCAAATCAGCTGTAATTTTAGACTTCTAATTCCAGTTTTTATAACTGGTTAGTTTGGCTGCGTCCACAATTCTACTGATATGTTCTGGTCAAAATATTTATAAAATCTATATCCCACTAAATCAATTTAATGAATTTCAAATTCTCATAATTAGTTTATAGTATTATCGTAGTTATGAAATACTATTGGGCGTCTACATTGACTAGACTTTTGATATATTAAATTTCTATATTAAAATCACTTATTATTAAATTCTTTCAATTAAATTTTTAATATAATTAAAAAAATTAGATAAAGTTTCGAGCCATTATTTTTTATCAAAACTAAATCAAATCGAATTTATACAATTTTTTACATTTTTATTTAAAATCACTGTTTCTAGTGCTTTGGAATAATTGTAGTGCATTTAGTAGGGATTGGATTATAAGCACTTGAAACGGCATTAAGATTCTAACAGATCGATACACAAATCATAATTTAATTTTATTCATGGTTAATGTGGTAAATGTTGGTGGATGTTCATCCTAAATGAATGAAATGCCATTTATCAACTGAAAGAATATAAAAGTAAATATTTTAATTATTTTTTTTAAATATTTCAAAATTTATTTTATATACATATAAATAAAATTGTTAAAAAGCAAAATTTTTACAATTGTGTGCTGTGTTAAGGAAATAATATTTTAGCCAATTGTGTGTTTGTGTGAAAGTATTATAACAAACTAATAGACAATATTTTACAATATAGGATTGTGTGTGTATTTAATTTAAAAAAAGTTAAAGCTATAGCAAGACAAAGCAAAAGATGTTTTAAAGCAAATTATCAAACTACAAATGATGCTTAACATAAACTATCTTACCTGTATCACTAACGTCTTGTACATCACCACCTTCTGGTGCTTCAGCTAGTATTTTATCAGCATCCTCTTGATTAATGAGATATGGTGAATTTTTTACAGTTGTAGTAGCACTATATATACACGATAAAGATTAATATATATTATTTTATATAGGATATATCACAGTTTAGTATTACCATGAAATACTGCCAGCATTCAAAGATTGATCCACTAATCCTTTCCAGAAGTTATGAGTCTCAGAAACTACTTTAATGGCGAATTGCGCATCTTTTGGGTCACCATTGAAAGCAAATTGATTTTCTGGTTTACCATCAGGAATTTTATAAATCTATAATAAAATCAAAATTAGATTATTTATAGATGCTGTATTTTAAAAGTCGGATATGTTTTAATAATATATGTTCCTTTTGTGCTTCAAATATCATTCGAGCTTTTCAATAATATTTAATATAATCTTGTTTGAGTAGTTCCAGAATTTTCAAGTATATGAGAAGCACACGATGTTGATATTTGTGTATACTTAAACTGCTCAATAGTTTTGAAACACACATATCAACATACTTATATATGCTCAATATATTCACAACGCACAAATTTAACATTTGCTCAACCAAATGTCAATATAAACTATTAGAATGTAGTTACCTTGAACCATTCGACTGTTGCACGCAACAAGCCTGGACAATGTTTATATATATCACATATATCATTTAATTTTTCAGCTAATGGATCTCTAATATCGATAGCTATAATCTTCCAATCAGTTTCGCCTTCATCAATAAGTGCAACAGTGCCAAGTATTTTAACCTGTACGACTTCTCCACGTTGGGCAACACGATAACCAATTTCTAAAACATCAATTGGATCATTATCACCTTTGCAGCCGGTAGATAGTTCAATATGATCAGGATTTTCCCAAGTTTGTGGGAATGCACCATAGTTCCAAATGTAACCCTTATGTGGGAAGCAATTTGCCACATAACGAAGTTTACCCTTTTTGATATCTTGTTTGATGGGGTTCAATGGATTCTTTAAACTAATCTAAATAAATTAAATAATAATTAACATATTTTATGAAAAATGTGAGTTCGATGTGAACATGCAATTTACTAATTGCAATTACTTACCTCCATTTTTGCGTTTGTCCAACGTGGTATCTCTACAACCATATTGTAAATAGTTTTCTCTTCATTGGCATAGAGTGGTATGTCGTGTAAAGGCGAAATTGCGTGTCCCTCTTCATTTTCTTTAAAAAAATATAATAACTAATTGTTAAAAAATGTTCAATAAGGCACGCACAATTGATATTAGATAAAATATATAAATAATTATTAATTTATTATTTCATTTCTTATAAAAAATAATTAAGTATTAGCTGTAAATAACGGTTATGAAATAAGGTACGGTTTTTAATTTTGCATTTGCAATGCTATAACACCGCAAGTTATCGGACCTATTGTGCGAAGAAGTAATAGTTTCCAATCAGTTTACAAATTACTATTTAGCGTGGCCATGAAATATACATATAAATAATGGTAGACAGGTGACCGACTATTATAAAACGATATCGATACGTAGAAGAAGTAGAAATACGTACGTAGACGAGGTCACTACTGAAACCTTGAAGTTTATATCTGTATATAAAGAGTATATTAAATTTTCACCCAAATATAACTATGCCAAATTGTTTAGCTGCTTTGGTTCCATAACAAAAATGTTAACAATAAAATGCTCATATAGAAAAACTATTCATTTAATATAAATATTTGCTAAAATTAAACAAATATACTAAAACCTAAAAAACAGGAAGCATTAATGAATTACAAGACAAATAGATAGGGATGTAATGTAGTTAGGGTCATGAGGAATGAGATAGCCAATTGGAGAAGTGTATAAATTTACAGAGCTAATATTGATGTACGACGTCATGAAGAGTAAAATTATGAGGGTTATAAGGAATGAGGTAGCCAGCCTCGATCAAGGCGTAAGAACCGTGCTACTTCAATTGGTTAGGTCTATAAATTTACAGAGTTAATATTGATGTACGACGTCATGAAGAGTAAAATTGTGAGGGTTATGAGAAATGAGTTAGCCAGCCTCGATCAAGGCGTAATTGGATAGGTCTATAAATCTACAGAATTAATATTGATGTACGACGTCATGGGGAGTAAAATTGTAGTTTGGACAGTTGACAAAGACCTGATGTTTAAAATTCCTTACGTACGTTTAATGTATTTCTTAATATTACTATAGTGAAGAGCTAAGCGTTTGCCACTTGAACAGAAATCGTCGAATACATTGAAAATAGGTGTTCAAGCTTTTTTTTTATATTTCAACTGTGCAAAAAGAAAATATTTCTGTATATGATGACATTAATATAATTTGCATATATTATGAATGCAATTATATTAGCTATAAACCAAAAAAAAAATAAATAACTGGACTAATTTAATAAATAATTAGTTGGATAATTAAGAGCAACAAAATAAAAACTATACTAGGAAGTGATTAATTGTTTTTAATACTTTTATTAAAATACAAGTTAGAATATATCAACTTTGATAAGCAAACGTTTTTTTTACCAACGTTAATTATAAAACGGAATTTCGTGATAAAAAATCATATCAACAAGATAAACGTAACTTTGGTTAAACCGCTTTTGTGTCAATTAATTTCCAGTATAAAATATAAAGCCAAAGCTCACAGCAAACGTCATAGGAAATTATTTAAAACAAATCAAGTAGCATTTCAAGTGGTGCCATAAAGTGCACTTTGCAACACTCATTCATGGGAAAAACTGCTCCCAAGTTCAATGCTGCAGTGAGACAAGCACTTATCACTCACATAGCGTATTGATAATCTCAATTGCATAATTAACAACTGATAAGAAAATTTCGTATTTATGTTACATTTTATTTATATAATTACTTTATTTTTTAGGCCGGCTTCTTGAGTCACAGGTTCATAACCTTGATTTCTCCTTTCACCCAATATACTTACGAAAGTAAATGCTGTAGTTGGTGGAATCCGGTGCTCCTTTCTCGACTGTTGTATAGCTAGACATTTTATTTACTTCTTTTAACAAAATGTCTTTCTTATTCTGAAATTGTTTTGTTGCTGTTGTAAACTGTCTTTTATCGCAATTTACTGTTATTAAAATGTTACTTTTTGTGTTGGAATTTAAAGTGTTAGAACGCCGCAGTAACACGTGTGCACTTCGCGAGAAGCGAAAAAATTTTGTTAATCCGCCAATTGCCGTCATTGTTGCTACTCTTTTGATAGCTTTTGCTAAACAAGTTTGCGAAGTGTTAGTTAACAGAGTTGCATTTTTGTGAAATTGAAAATATTTCTCAAAAGAGTTTAAAAATATTTAATGTAATAAAAATTATTTGTATAATAATAAATTTATTATTTACATTATATAAAATTAAAAATATATTTTAGTATTATGTACTGTATTTTACTGTATTTTTATAAAAATAAAAATGTGTTTTATATTATGTGGTTTTATCTTATACACAAACCATAAAAAATGGTTGCCAACTCTGTATTAATACGGGAAAATAGTTTGTGCCTAATTTATTGCTTTTCTTTGTTTTTATATTAATATTCTATACATAATAAATAATTGAAATAATAAAAATTTAACATTATTATAACAAAACAAATTATAACATTAAATTATTATAAAAAGAAATTTCAAAATTTGTTTGTAATATTAATAAGATATTTAGAAAAGTTTAAAAAAGGACAAATCGCTGCATTGTTTCAGTATTTGATACATAAATTTAAAATTAAACATTGACGCATGAGAATCTAGACTGAAGTCCTACTAGCAATCAATAAAATTGATGTTATTTACGGAGTAGCAATACATTAGATGATTTAAGACATTGTGAAGTTTAATTCTCTTCATATAAAAAATTTAATAGTTTTAATCAATTAATCATAAAGAATAATAGTAGAAGTAACATTTACTTAGGATTCTAATGGATAATAACCAAACATTTACTGAAATGTTACCTATGATTGACGTACAAACGTTATTTGCAATTCACCACTACTACGTAAACTATAGATTAGGTAAAATTGGTAAGTCCCAGAATTATAGCAATAAAATATTCACTTAACAATTATTAGTTTGGCATAAACTTCCCAATTAAGTATTAATAATAAGCATTTATTTATTTTATTTATATTCTATTTTTATTGTCAAATCAAATGATGTGGGTCCAAAATGTATACTGTGTAAGCCTAGTCACATTCAAACCTTAACATTTTGTTGTTGTTAGTAATAGAAGCGCTGAGTGGCACTGGAACGTCTGAATATATCAATGAAATACACATGGTTTCAGAATTATTTCCAATGTTCCTAGAATAGTTTTAAAGTCTTCTTATTGCTATTGATCTTTATTTAAAGTTCTATATCATATTACAAAGCAGTTATGTTAACAAATATAGACTGATTTTCTTTTGTCGGAAGAGAGTCGGACAGATATTTTATATTTCAAACACATCTATATATTTGTTAGATAAATTAGTTAAAAATATTTTTAATTTTTGACCCAAAATTCTGCACAAATTTAATGAAACGTTTAAAGTTTAAGAGCAATTAAAATAAATAATTTGATTAATTAAATTTTCCGCACCAACAGCCTCAGTTTTAGTTTAAAAACGCACTGAAATGGATCACAAGATTTTCAGTTTAGGCTAAACTCACTTTACAAAATGTGGACACTTAAACCAATCTGTGTATTGATAATATTTTTTGTGGTAAATAATGATATTTATATAAAAAAAAATTCATAAAATAATAATTATTACTTTTTTCTGTTGTACAGGGTCTTACAGTGTCCATCAAAGTAAGATGCAACCATCCCGAGACTATTCGAGAGGATCACATACATTATTGCTGCAAACATCCTGATGGACATAATGACATTATTGAAATGTGCGCAAACGAAACAAAATTTAAACTACCTTCAAAGGATGAAGAAGCTTTAGAGGATGTCACAGTGGCACAATTAGTAGCTGGTACATGTTTCGGAAAATGCGTTTTTCAAAAGTTCAAATTTTTTAAAAACCATGAATTGGATATGAACGCTGTTAGACAACATTACAAGGAAGTACATAAAATGGATCCAGAATACGAGCGTGAAATGATATCAGCATTTGATCATTGCCACAGCAGATGTAAATATATTATACACGATTTGTTTAATGATTTTCCTTATTTTTAATTCAAATCTTTTGTATAAAATTTCAGCTGAGGAGGAAACTGCTAAGCTAATGTCCTTTCCTTTCTTTCGTATAAAGAATGTAAAATTTTGTGATCCGAAGCCAAGTGTTGTACTATCTTGTGTTATATATAATTTCTTTCATAATTGTCCAAAGGATCGCTGGGCAAAAACTAAAGAATGTGAAGAAACTCTTGAATTTGCTAAAAAGTGCAAGGATGCCTTAATTTCCATGTGAATCTAATATAATATTATTATTAATAAAATTAAAAGGAATGTTAATTATCGAATTTTATTTTCTATTATTGTTATCACTCCAATTCTAGTAAACAGAGCATTAGTGTAGATATAGCTGTAACGGACTGAAATCCATTTATATATCTCAGTCAACATTAACGTTTAGATAAATTTTTTAGTATCAAGAATACTTGTTTTGTGACATAGTAAAAGAATGGCTTAAGTCATAAACTTAATTTGATTTGTTCTACAAATTATAATTATTTTAGTTTGAATAGTTCTACCATTCTTGAATGAGCCTGCTTAGTACGCTCTCCTTGCTAATGGAATATCGTTGACAGCGTGGAGGAGTACTTCAGCATTGATGATAATACTACCACTACCCAATCCACAATAACTGTCATCGTATATATTTTTATATATGGAATAAATACATTTTAATTATAAAATTCAATAAATTTTAGTTATAAAAATTTTTAATAATAATCTATTAATCTTTAATACAAAATAAAATTAAGAACTGTATAACAAAAGAAGTTGTTTGTAAAATTATAAAATGATATGTTAAACGGTTAGTTTGGAGTTCAGTTAAATAAATATTATATAGTCATATTATATACGAAGGTAGTGGTTTTTCTTGAGACGCTTATATTCGGGACCTTTTTTAGAGTTTATCGTAACCCTCAAATCTTCCCTGGTATTAAGTTTATCATTCACATCAGAAATGGTTTTAAGTTTCTCATTGACACCGAAATTTCCAACGTTTTCTTTCTTCTCAATACCAGACATAGAGCATTTTCTTGAGTTACCCAATGCCTCAAACGCCTCATTTGGATTTTTTGGTGGCTCGCTTGCATCTGCATTCAATAAATCTGATGTTTTTAAGGCGTTAATGTTAGAGGAAGAAATTCGGACATAACATGCTAACTCATATAAAATCTTTCTTTGCAGTTTTAAATCTATAACAAAATAATAAAATAATTGCAATATATTAAAATATAATATGCAAAAATATCAAATAAGTAATACCTCTATCCTTGCTAAGATTGTCCTTCTTTTGTTGCACCTCGGATAGTTTGTTTGAACCTTCCATTACGAATACTTTCACTGCTTTCTTGTGTTATGTCTTCTTAAAAGCAATCTATTACATATTAATCTATACATATTGTTAAAGAACGAGCAATAATACACTTACTGCTTTTGTATTTCTTATAAATTTCATTCAAATACTTGGCGCTTTTACGTTTTGTTCGGAAGACTTTTCATTTGTATCAGGGATGTTATATTATTTATTCCTAAAAAATTGATGAAAATAAGTGACAGCTTTTTAAATCAGCAGAAATATATAAAATTATGATTATGCTATAATTTTGTATGTTAAATATAATTTTTAAGTAGTTTCATTTTTGTTGGTTTGCTTAGTTTTTTTATACATTTTTTTTTTCGGTATTTGAGTAACATCGAAAGCCTAGGGTGAGACTTTAACATACCAAAACCACTTCTCAAGTATGTATAAAAGACGGCTTGCAGCGTTAGGCCGTTAAAACACAACTGCTAAAATGCTATTCTAATATTCATGGGTATAAGCGATATAGAAAACAAAAAGACATCATATTTAAGCATACATTTACGTATACGAATATGGATGCTGAGGATAATTGTTAGTATGAGGGTATTACGAATAATTGATTTCCAAAAGAATTATAATTGTATAGTAAATTTATAAAATAAGAATGAACACGTCATTCAGATATTGTTAAGCAAATCAGTAGAAAATTATACTTTGTGAAGTATATTAGGTCTGTTCCACGAGCTACTCGTAGTAAAAGTCAAGTAAAGCACGAGTAAAGTATAAACTGAGAACGTAACATAAGTATTGTGTTAAATTTCGCTCTTTACACAAATTTTCATGATACAGTTTTGTGTAAAGTCTGATGAGAACACCAGTGCCGCGCAAATAAAAATACAAAAATTTAAATTCAAACCAAAACAGCTGATCCACACATTAACACAAATTTTACTTGAAATAAAATGTACGAGCAAAGTCTATGTAGCATTTTCAAATTTCGACAGGGATGTTAGGCACTCTCAGATGCTCTCATTTACTCGAAAATTTGCTGGTGGAACGCGTTGTTAGCGTATCGTTTAGTGACACGAAGTATATTGATTACTCGTTACAAAATCATATGAGACTATATATGCTTTGTTGTTGTTCGTTAACAAACGAAAAGAGGACTATTTTGCTATTGAAGTGGATACGTGAAGTTTTATGGTTATTATATGTGAGTGCAATATTTAAATTATAATTAGCAAATTATATTATATATAATTATATAAAATTTATAATATAATTTATAAATAAATTATAATCATATTTTATTATTTTTTTAATAAAGGTAAGAAATTTAAGAGAGAAAGAGAGAGAGAGAGAGAGAAGATCCATTGGCGCTGTACAGTGACACGCCTAGCTAGCTTGTTAGAACAAGCCTAATATTATCGAACTGTTAAGCATGTAGCTCTAACTGTACCCAAGAACATTGATCTTATATATACTGAAATCAATTTTAAAAGTTCAAATTGGTGTAATTTATTGGCTTCTTAATATATCATACATGAAATCGGTAAATTCAAATTTATTTTGTAGTAAACGTTTCTATATGCAACTCAATCAGACCAATGCAATTGGTATACATAAAAATGAAAAATTTATAGTTTTTGGTTAATTTTACATAGAAATCAAAGCATCTTTGCAGCTTTTACTAAACTCCAACACACGATCGCATTCCGGAGACTTCGACCAACGTTCAATTGGGCAATTATGGAAAAATTGGCGTATAACACAAGCTAGTATAACGCTGGACTTGGGTTCACAAAAATCGTCGGACAAAGTTTTGAACATAGGATTCGATAAGAATTTAGCTGCGTTGTCTTCCGCTGTAAAGGGTAATAAATTTAGATATAAGATAAGGTATTAACAACGATTTCTTACATTTGCCATGACAATGATCAAAGGCATTCAACATTTCCTTAACATATTCAGGATCGTTGCTATGATTATCACTGTAATATTTTCTAACAGCTTCCATGTTAAAATCTTCACCTTTAATGAAATTAAGTTTATTAAAAACACATTTGCTAAAACAAGTGCCAGCGATAGCGCGATCAGGTGTTATATCAATGAAAGCCTCCTCCTTGGGATTGGGCCACTTAAAGCCAGTTTCTTTTGAACAATCCTCTAGCACTTTATTGGGTTTTTCTGGATGTTTGCAACAGTAATGTATATGATCTTCATTAATACCATCGGGATTATCGCAATCAATTTTTAAGCCGCAAATATGCTAATAAAATAAAATAAAAATTATCAATTTGAGTACGAGGTGAAATTCTAAAAAAAGTTTCTTAACTCACCACAACTAGCAAAGTCACAAACGCAAATGCTTGATGTAATTTCATGTTGAAGTTAGTTTGGTGAATAGTAAGTTACCTTGCTTTTACGCTGCTTTTATATGAAATTTATTATCTTAACCAATTAATATACTTAATTTAGTTAATAAATAGTTAAATGAAGCCTAACTTTAAGCAATTAATATTTGTAATTTAATTTTAAATTCTAAATTTATTTAATACATTTCAAAATTAATTGTGCCATTCAGCCACTGATGACCGCATATAAAACGGCTCATTTCTACCGATAAATATTAAGATAACATTAAATAACCTATATCGGATTTGATATAATAAATCTATTTATATAAAATTTGGTAGCAGTTTGAGGAAATTCATTTAGTTATTCAACGTTCGATGCAGACAACAGCGCCTTACGGATTTTAAAATAATGAAAATTTGGATCACTGGTTGCCGTAATATAATATTAGTAGGAATTTCCTTATGTATCGTGGTAAATAATATTTATAAGAAAACTTTTGTAAAAATATACTATTGCTATTATATAGAATCTGATTGCAAGTGAAGATTTACCTGAAGAACCAAATGGTCCGATTGAACCGAAAGAGGAGGTTGAAAGCGTTACACCTAGCAGCAGTAGTAATGCTAATGATGTTAGTATCAGTGCTCTTGATGAGACAAAATGTATGAAAAGTGTAAGTCTCTTTACGCATTTGTGTTAATCTCAGTGAAACTAAAGAAATGGATTTTCATCTATTTAGCGGAACGGCTGCTGTGACGAACTTTTCATAGGTGATGAACAAAGTTTAATGAAATGCTTCGCACTACATCAGAGTAAAATGCCGAAAGATAATGAAAATGATCCAGCAAAATTAATGAAGTTCTTGTCGGTATGTAAGTCCCCATCATAGATATCAGTATCACTTATAAATACTTATAAGTAGCAGGTTTTGTAAAAGTAGTATTATTGTGTTTATCTTCAGCTACAGTGATACATAGTGTAAATCTTATAATTGTATTAATATTTAATATTTTCTTGCCTTTAAGTGTTTTGTTGAATGTCTATATAAGCAAAAGAAGTATCTTGGAAAAGGCGATAATATAAATATGAAAATGGTTAAATCTGATGCCGAGAAGACATATGCAGATCGTCCCAAAGAAAAAGATTATCACATAGCCATGTATGAGTTCTGCCGAAAAGATGGTATTATTAAGATAATCACTTGACTGATATGCAGTATTAATAATACAAACATTGATATATTTTTAGCAATAACAACGTATGGTTTAATCAAAATGAATCCTGCAGCAAAATATATGTTAAAAGATTCTTGCAAACCGTTTTTCATGTTTGTATTTATATGTATTTCTGATTATCACAGAAAGCAGGATTGTCCCTATCATCGGTGGGTAGGTAAATCCAAGACACCTCAAGAAAAGGAATGCTTGACAGCTAAAAACAAATGCTATGAAATTGATGGAATATCTATATAGTATCATTGAGATAACATAAATGCTATTAACTATTATAAATACAAAATAAATTCTATAAAATGAATACGTTCTTTAGTAACAACCTACACTTTTATTTAGAAAATTGGTTTTTATTTAGAAGTATTTTGACTTAAGTATAACATTACATGTCCTTCTCTAATTTTGTTTTAGTTAAAATAATCCCTTAAATATTGAACAACATTACCGCCGTTTGTTTACTGGAGTAAAATTCTACCATTACGTTCGAACAGAAATGGCTTGATACTAAAACATGAGGTCCACATACTCCGTGCGAAATATTCAAGCTGTATCAAAATTGTCAGACATTTACTTTTTTAATAATTTGAAATAATTTGAAAGAGAAAGACTAATAAAAAATTATTTAGTTACCACGGCATCTAATCAAATCCGCTGATTTGTAAACCAGAAGAAAATGCAAGGGTATTTAAAGATAATTCTGAATTAAAGATAACCTAAATTTTATATAGAAATAACTACAAAAAACTCAAGGCGAATGGCTTTCTTTTTATTCGAAATTATTCTGAATATACTTTCTATGACGATCTACACAAATTGTTATAGCAAAAATGCAATAGTACAGAGAACCGCAAATCACTCTTACAATAAAGGTACTGTAAAATGTTACAGAAATAATCAATAGAGAAACGGACACACCCTACAAATAACAATATTCCAGAAAAATGTTCGACTAACCCGTAAAGAAACATGTCATAAAACCTTATCAAAACGAAACTGCTTTAATCTCTTTTCTGATATCTCGAATACGGCAAAGGGAATAGGGACAACTAAGTTAAGATATTTATGGAAGAAGCTTAAAAGTTCTTTATCTGGATTCAATGAATCTGATTTTTTAAAATATTTATGTATATAGAGAATAAAAACATTTATATGAAAAGCTGATCTTATTGTATCACAATAGGATTATACGATTTACATATTTCATAAAGTTTGAGTTCGCCACTTTTACCTTATAGTATGCTTATGCTTTTAAAAAAAATTAAAATAACCGGGAAATCTTTGGGCAAAGTCAAGCAGTTAGCTTAAAACCATAAGAGATATAGATATTTTGTTGAGGCTGCATGCTTCAATAGGAGTTAAAGGAAACAAGAATAAGAAGGCTTTTACCTAATCTTAATAACAAAACAAAAATAGTAAATCGTTCACATTCAAAACAGTATGTGTAAAATATTTAATCATATTTTCTATGTTTAAATATCAAAAAAAAAAAAAATTAAGTTTCCCTAATCAAGAAAGTTTTATTTTTTTTTTGTATTATTAAAAGGTGATCAGATTATTATACAAAAATGCAAGCTGTTTCTGATAAGCCTGGATATAAGCGAACTAGATCTTATTTCATACGAAACGCTTTACGAAAAGACTTTGAAAAGTTACATGTATTCGCCAATGTAAAGTTCATTAGACATATTGGCTATCCGAAACGTAAAATTTCCAACAAAATAGACTTCTTCAATTTGAGTTCAACACATTTTTTTTTGGTCACTGAGAGTGCGCACTCAGCTGTCACGGTTGGCTTTGCAGAATTTTCAAATCATCCACCAATTACAGCTTTACCAAAAGAATGTTGGGAAGACTGGATCACTACAAATTTTTGGCAAGTTACATCAATTCATCAATATTAATTCATTACCTTTCTTGCTTTTTTCACAATTAACAGAAATTTATCATTACAGTCTTGGTCTGGAATTATCACCTACTAATTCCTTATTTCTGAGTTCATTTATATATAATCCATCACATATACCGGAAATGTTATTGCATGTACTGGAAGAGATTTTTATGCGGGAACTTAAACTGCGTTATATACTAATACTACAAATGCCTGATATGATCTATATACGTCCTAACGGTATTTACTAGTAAATATGAAATATCATAATTAATACAAAATTATATGATTTATCGAATACAGATATACCAGATCATAGCTGGCTGGAACCATTTTCAACTATATATTATCCAATAGTTTTTGATCCAATATGTAAAAATGTTCAATGTATTCATGTCATTGAACGTGAAAGCATCATACGTGATATTACGTACAGAAGGGCATTGTATATAATTATATTTAGTTATTATTTAAGTTGTTTTTTATATTTATAACTTATTTAGACCAGGTGATAATGATGATATAATTGATATGATGGATATGTTTTGTCCACAAATAAGAACCGAGCTGGGAGATTTTTACATCGCTGAGGAACTTCTACATAATGCAAATTCTCATAGCTCATTAATTGTTTGCGAGGTAAATGACTACTATGTTTATCACTAGTAATTGCTTCTTAATAATAAAATTGTTATATATATAGTTATGTAAAATATATGTATATGTTACTGACATGTGTCAGATTTCAGACTATAGGCAGACTATATGAATAGTCTAACCAAATTCTCATTCTAAATATATTTGAACTCAGATATATCAATGTATTCTTAACTGGACGTGCTCCTGTTAACTACCGCTGTTCATATATGAGACTAAAGATAACTGGCACCTGACTATATTATCTGCTTACAATGTGCAATTACAAAAAAACGGGTTCCGTGCGTACAAATTGTCTTGTTTTAATCGAATAAGGAGTTTTAAATGAGTTTGTGGTTTTAATACTAATAACTAAGTTACTAATAATAAACTATACGGATATAATTAAATTTGTAGATTGAATAAACGCCTAACGAAATTGGGAATTCAATTCAACTCAAACTGCAGATACTGTAGAGAAGAGAGAGAAACTACATACCTTGTGTTTGGGTAGTGCCCGGCACAAATGCACAAGCGGAAAAACACCTAGGAGGGTATTTCACGATAGATTAGGATTCAAAATTAGGAATGGCTAGCTAGACTAGGCTCTATACTGCTTTTCATTAAAGATATCTGACTTGGAGAAACACTCTAATCCGACTAAGGGATACAATAGGTCTTTTAGGTCGCTCTATACTGCTTTTCATTAAAGATATCTGACTTGGAGAAACACTCTAATCCGACTAAGGGATATAATAGGTCTTTTAGGTGGTAGTGTAGTACCCTTTTTCAGATTATAATAATTAGGTCGACCTCAAATAGATAAAAATAATATTTTTGATATATATTTTTTACAAGGCATGATATAATTCTATTAAACATAATATTGATTTATAAACATTTATTTGACTGACTGTATCTACTCCATCATATTGCTCAATATGTTTCGTGATTAGATTAAACATAAAACAATTGGTTTTTTTTGGTTGAACGATAATGTGGACATACTAAAATTAGTGGAGAACTTTGAGCTTGAAATTTTTGGGAACTTAGTGAAGTATGATCCAAATCTACCAACTATAGAAATACAGACTCCATTACGGTTAGCAAGTTATATTTATAAACATTTATAAACATATATAAATAGTTATATTTAATTTTTGAAGTGTATATGGAAAAGTTGCTATAACAAAACTATTTACTGTGGACTCAATTAAAGATATGCTTCAAAAGACCGTTATGATGAAATACTTCCCGAAACATAAATTTAGTAAAATAAGGTAAATAGTATTTATTTCTTAAATGTTGACTTAATCAATTTTTTTTCTTTTGTAAAATATTAGTATTTATAATAAAACCATAGACGTGATTTCTGATAGAGGGCAAATACAAGATATTAAGGATGAAAGATTATACTTATTTGACGAATTGTTTAAAAAATTTCGAAAAATTGATGACAGTAAGTTCTGAAAGAAATTTACTTATTAATATATTAAAAATTTATTTACTTATTAAGAAATAAAAAATTGGAATTTATGCAGATTAACAATCCATGTCAGGTGATATTTGATATATATTTGAACCAATTACTTATAGTAAAATCACCATTTACTACCATAAACCAAGCAAATATTGTGTTTTGTTCATTAGAAGAGTAAAGAGTTGACATATTGCTTAAATAACTGTGAGAGATATGAGTTTAGCGAATAGAGGCAGGTCCAATCCAAAAACCAAAATTAGTATGTTAGTTGAGCGAAAATTCAACTATATTGATTGGTCCGAATACAGCAATGCAAATTGTAATAGAAATGCGGTTCCTTGTAGCCAATGTTTTAGTTTCAGTCTATAAAAAAAACTGTTGAAAAATCTTTGCTGAGTCCTTAAGCTCCTAATGGAGTATGGAATAATAATAATAATAATTAAGCTAAAGTCCGTATACCTTTTAATACATAGTCAAAGTGTTTCAGTCAGAAATGTAAATTCGAAAACGAACTACAATAACTTATATTACTTGATACTTAACTACAATTTATACAGTATTACTTTTTAATTTTAGAAACTCGTTCCAATGAGTGGTACATGGAATCCTTTGAAGCACTTATGGAATTTTACTATAACATCCCAAACGATTATGATGCTACAAATTTAGCTCAATATAGACCAGAGGAAACATCGAACGTCTTTGCTCTACAATTATTTAGTCTGGAGAATGATAGAGATCTTCGCTTGTTCAAGCTTTTCCTGGCAGCCACTTTCAGTGCATATCCCGATCGTGAATTTTGCATTATTTCAGTACCAAAAAAAGTTGAGAAATCGAAAGATTTATTAAAATTAACAGATTGCTGTGTTGTGAGTATAGATCTAATCAATTATCATTTTATTTAATACAAATTATTAATGAGACAATATGAATTTTCAGCATGTTCAATCTCGACCAAACTGTTCACTACACGATGATCTATATATAGTTCATCACAGTGCATTGTATGGTGAACTTTTTTTGCAGCAAGTGAATGAAATCGATGACGCATTAGTCCAACAAATGCTACTGTGTTATGAGAGTGATGATGAGTTATACGATACAACTGCCGAAATTATGTGTAGAATAAAAGAACACTTTGATGCTGATAATTCTACTATCAGTGTTTTTTTGGTACGTTGCGGCAAGTCATCGCAGCATATGGCTTTCAATACAATTGTTGGATTCATTATCACAAGGTAAATAGATTATCACAAATAGATCTTTATATATATTGAAACTGTTTATTTGAAGAGCATTTCACGATATTTCCGCATTAGAACAGCATTTCTTTATAAGAAGTACAGAAATGAAAATTTCCACCAGTGGAGAAATTTTGTGTTTGTACTTACATCCATTTTATCAATTTGAGTATCAATTAATATTTCGAGAATTAGGACGCATGAGTGGATTTAACATCTTGTATTATATAGCACCAAATGGAGTAAGTGCACATTTTTAATATTGTAAGAAATTGGGGTAGTTTGAAGTTATTATTAAAAGATAGTTATATATGGCTTTTGAAATTAGTGGAAATTCCTTATTTTCAATATGTTCTTATTATTTTCATATCTACTTAGATTGATGCCTCCATAAGCAATACGTTGTTTATTGTTCTTACACAATTAAAATTATAGAGAGATCAAGAACAAATTCTTAAAAATAAATTGGACACTCCAACTGATTTTACAGTAAACCCACAGAACTTATGGTGTTTACCATCAAAACAAAGACGCTATTATTCAACTTCACTTAATTAAATATATATGATATTTTATATTCTTGAGTTTCTAAACTACGGTTCAAGTAACACCAACGAATGAAAAGTTTAACGAGTACTTTAAATAAAATGTCCAGTGATTGTATAGCTCTATAACAGAGGAAAATATTTCGAATAAGCAAGAATGTAGAAATGTCATTTTCTACAACCGATTTTACAATGTATATTGTTGTTGTGTCTTTGACTTTATTTACTGAAAGTCACTATATCTTATCCAGCCATTGAAATGCTGTATAAGTGAAACCAGAGTTTGCATTTCTTTCTCAGTAATGTGCAGGTAAGAGATATACTCTCAAGCATTGCTGCCAAAAAAAAAAGAAATACAAAAAAAAATGTGTTTACTCTACGCAATTTTATTCTTAGACTTAAATCATTTAAAAGGATGTGTTGGTACTGACAGATCACACTACGTCAGAACTGTTCTTGAATCAAAACTTTAAATACATAAAACTTTAAATAATACCTTAAACATATTCCCCCACACATTGAAACGGAACTGTTCGTTTTTCCGTTGCAACTAAGCAGATCACTCTAAAATGAGTGACGATTATTTCATCATACAGCCGGACAACAGAGATTCCATTGTGAACAACAGAGTTTGTGAATCTCTAACAATATTCTCTAATTATATCATTAACTAAAATACTATCTCGTAAATTCTCTAGTCTGTCTAATAAATCTATTCTCTCATTAAGAAGTTTAATGATTCATAAAAACGATACTAATCAATGCAACGTGACATTTAAGTGACATCAAAAAGATCCATCAATGATTTATGTTGGCTAGTAGTAACATATATCACTATTTCATTACAGAGTAAGGTATATTGAATCTCAATTATAAAAATTTGAAATTATATATATTCATTTTTCTTTATTTTTAATTTGATATTTTTTTTAATATTTTTTAATAATATTTTTAAGAGAAAACTGAAGCCACTACTTAACGACTTGGTAAAGAAAATGCAACCTGTTGAACCAAAACTTATTAAAACTTTTGATATTACAAAAAAAAAATATCATAAAAAAAAGAAAAAATTTCACACTATTTACGATTTTAATTACGCGGATTCTTCATATGCTGTGTATCGACGTCATATGCGTGAAACCGAAATGTACGGCGACACTAATATAAAAATAGTGATTATCGGCTTCACAGATGTAACTAAGGCACTGCTGCGATCCTTGCTTTTTAGCTATAACTCACAGGAGTGAGTTCATTGAAAACAAAACAAAGCCCACAAACAAAGCCTAGAGTTATTAATAAATTTTTTTTCCCATTTAAGCATGAATTGTGTACCGAATTTCGATATCACCGTCATCACTAAACCCGGTATTGTGGAAGCTGAATATGATGCAGACTTTATTTGTAGGGTGTGTAAAAAAAATTGCTGGATACAATTCCATAATTCTAACGCATACATTAATGATTGCGTGAAACGTTTAGATCTACAACAATGGATAACATTTGTATCAGGAGATCTACGTAAAATCGATCGGTCAGAATTATTTATGCAAATAAACAGTATAGTATAGGCTCAACAATCAGGCTACTATCGCTGACTACAGTAAATGACTACTCTCATCAGTAGTCATTTACTAGTAAAGATATATACATACTATATATACTATATAGTATACATTTATAGCTGTACTACTATAGAACTATTGTGGTATAGCTGTATAATGCCAATAGCTTCTGCAACGGTTTCAACTATATTTTTGACATTTCTAACTGTTCTAGCCAGCGACTGGCTACTGTATTCAATATAATTAAACTACTGTGGGAGTTCTCAGATTCTATAACAAATGACTGTGGCTAGTGAGTGTAGTAGCGACTGTAGCCAGCGGTTGTGTTCAACGACTGTAGCCAGCGGTTGTGTTCAACGACTGTGGCCAGCGGTTGTGTTTAACGACTTTAGCCAGCGATTGTAGCCAGCGACTTTAATCAGCGATTGTAGCCAGCGACTGTAGCCAACAACTGCAGTCAGCATTTGTAGCTTATATACTTATATAATAGTAAATTAAATCTTTATTTACTTATAATGTTTGATTATTTTTTTTGTTTGTATTTTAAGTGCATCCCATAAAGTAAAACTAAACGGACAATGTGATGTTAACTACGACATTCTGATACTTTGTTGTTACACCGATTATAGTATACCACAAAAAATGATTCTAGATGAAAAATTTCCATACAATTATGCACAATTCAATTGTCGTCTAGATAAAATTAATTTTTACCATAAACTCCTCCTCATAAAGGAAGAGATGGATGATCCTTTTACGATAATCGTTTATGGTATTCATGTACGTGTTTATGAATTTATCAACTTCCTTATAGAGCACGGAATTAAAGGAAAAAATATTATACTAGTTGTTCCTGATAATACTATTGAAGTTCACATTATGAATCATCCCGATATAGATATAAATGTTGAAAACATTCTACAACAAATGGTGTTTGATTTGGGTGTTAAGATTTGTGAACGATACATATTTCTTTCTTGGCAACAGTATGGTAGAGACGAAATTATAAAATATGTGACGTTCTACTCATTGCACGATAAAGCGATAGTCAAACTTGATTGCGATATGTTCGTTAGCTTCTATGATATGCACATTACTCAAAAATTTATTAACAGTAAGTTTTAGTACCGACATTAATGACATTTTTCTAAATATAAAACTTATGTAGTTCTTGATGCTGCTGAAATTTATATGGAAGATAACGATATCCTCGTCGATAATTGCTTTCGTACAAATGATAAAAATATATATGCTTTGGGCAAATTTATTCAACATTTTGATGATCAAAATCATCAATACAGAAATGTCAATCCAAAAGAATTGGCTGAAAAGGTAATATTATCAATGAAATATAGGAAAATATATCTATATGTTCAATATATCGATACCGATATTCCGGTATTCAATATCGTAATGAATTGGCTGAAAAGGTATACTATAAATGAAATTTAATAAAATATGTCTATATATTCAATATATCGATACCGATATTCCGGTATTCAATATCGGATTGAATTATGTCCTTAAAATTGCTCAGAAAGCGCACACCATGGGATTTGGGACATATTTCAACTTCTAAGTTGTATAACTCAGTTTCTAAATTATTGTCATAATTCATATCCGTCATATGAAGGATATAAAGGTATAATAAATATTAATTATTTCTATATTACTTTCTCAATTGCAGCTTTTAATTAAATTAAATCTTTTGCCACCATACAAAAGAATAGGAAGGAAATTTGATAGCCCTCATTACTTCCAAGCTCAGTTACCATTCGGCTATTACTTATATAAAGTGGTTATACCAAAACGGTACATAACAAATCATCTACCTAATGAATTCGACCTGGCAATGACTGCATATGATGGAAATTTCTCTCGTATTCGCATAAATGAACATGGGATTGTAGTGGAAATGCTCTATATAACTAAAGAAGTAAGGGACAAATTGTTATATGCATTTATGTATAGCACAATATAATATCTATATATATATATGTATATATATAATGATCCATTTAATACTTTCAGTTTGGTGATTTCGATTATCTGCAATTTTTTTGTGGTAAACATCAATTGATGCTTAATAATATACGTTCACGTTGGTATTTGGGTGAAATTGATAATATAACTGAGTTCTTGAAACAGCGTTGGGCTACGTTACTCATAACTATGAAATTCCAAAATTTTATTAAGGAATTGGAAAAATTGCTTAAGGAAGAAGCCGAGTATTTCATAAATAGCAAAGCTGTAAGTATTATATATAATTATAAATATATATTATATGTAAATATGTATTTTTATATAAATATAAATAATAAAAAAATATATGTAAATATAAATATATGTATATTATATAATATATAGTTATCACAGATTAATTGTTAAATTTTTTTTTTTATTATTATTATTATGTTGAGGCTAGTTGAGTCAGTGAACTTTTGCTCTCTATTAACTGTGAGGTTTCTTCATAACCCCTCTCTACGCCTTGGCTGGATTATTGTTTATTACTTTATCAGACTAAGCAATAGTTGACCCCAGATCTGCATACCTCCCCGAGGAGCCTATAGCCATTCTGAGATTCGATAACGCGGTTTTGATAAGCCTGTCAGTTTTCGTAAAGAATTTTCAGTGCTCTATACTTTATATATATTTTGATCGGATCAAACTTGAAGTCCCTGATAACACTATATTATATATTTATATATACTTTGGTACATTTCTTATAAAATATTTATTGATAATTTATTTTAAAAATAAGTAGATAAATACAAGTAGATCTCTACTGTTCCCACGTTTCATAAAATTTATAATTTTATAATTATAAATTAATTATAAAAACAGAATTACAGAGAGTAATAAATATTTTATTTTTATTTTAAATTTCAGAGAATGAGCATAGCTCGTTACAGACGAAAGAGTTCTTTCCAAAACAAAATGTCAAATAATGGCACAACTAGGGAGATTGAAGAATTATTCTTGGAGTATATACGTAAAAACTGCGATAAATATCCACGCTATTTTGCTCTACCAGAAGATTTCCCATTACCATTCTACTGATGTCCATTTCTTTAAAATCATTTATATTTCTACTCAACTCATTTTAAATTTTTAAACTTATTTATTTAAATATATTTTAATGCCTTAAACTAACATACTGAACACAAACACACGTCTTTTCTTATCTGCAATGATCAATAATGAACAAAATTTTAACTTAATTTAAAAGATTTGTCGTTGGTGCAATTGTTAAGCACCTAAGGCGCATTGCACCACAAATTGTTTGGCCAAAGCACAGTCTGCATTCTCGGTCCAACGGTGGGCAGGACAGTTTTTAAAATATTCCATATATGTGCAACCCAATAAAATAGACGCATATGGACTGCAGCCACGTTGAACGGCTGCATTACCAAGCGGCATTTGTCGGAAAGCTTGCATTTTGCGCACAGCATTTGGTTGACATCTCTGGAAAGATTTAAGCATGGCTTCAGCATAGATGGTATCATTGTTAAATTTTGTATATAGATCATTGCGTATGTTATCAAATTCCAATTGCTCCGGTTTTTGCATATATTTGGACTCAGTAATTATACACTCAGCTAAGCACTGCAAAAAGGAAAAAAAGAAAATTTAATTTCATTTATTAAAAATATTTCTATATATTAATATTCACTGTAGCTGTTTCAACAGTTGGGGCTGGATCCGATGGTTGTCCAGTAATGCCCATACGTTTAGCACAATTTTCTGTTATTTCATCACGGCCTCCATCTTTACAGCATAACGACGGATCCTGCATATAATTTTTTAATATTAGTTCATTAAAAATACAATTACATTAACAATCATAGAACTAATATGTAAGAACGATCTACAGTTAGGACTAGAGTCCTAACTATAGACTATATAGTCTATACTATATAGTCTATATATTATAATTTCTAATTACAATGCTCAATTTTATAAATTAAATAAATTATAAATCATAGTATTTTTTTCTTTTGAGTTACTTGGACAAGACGTTGTCAGACTTAATAATCGCTATAATAATTTTTATGTACTCATTTCAAAGCCACAGTTTTAAAGGAACTGTTGACTCCCCTGCGGTGAGGGGATTAGAATATTCCTGGCTTTGGTAATACCCAAACTTACGCGGAAAAAATGATGGTAATTTACCTTTATTCAGTGTGGGATTGCATATTCACACCAGGTGTTGTGACCCAAAGACCAGCAGAGAATGAATAGGCTTCGCACCTTACCAAAATGTAAGTTATGCTAAACACATAACTTCAATTGGTTCCGGCGGAGTTCCAATGAGGCGTTTATGAGCGTATTATCTTGGTACGTGTGTTTTTAGAATATCACGGTCTTGAGCCTTCAAGGCAGGTTATCCCACTAAACAACACTGGATTCTGTGATGTCTTTAACGACTACACTATGGAGATTGGACAGACGCTTGAGGAAGGAAAGCCTTAGAGCCGATATACGGCATTTAATGAGTATTACGCAGTAACGGAGTAGATAACAGAGAGTAACAGAGTAGAATTATTTACATTCTAAACCAGATAAAACTAATGTTACGTTAGTCGATTGTAGTAAAAACTTGTGCTTCAGTGGAAATAAATCAAAATTATTATGAATAGTAAGGTAAAAAAGAAGAATATGTCAAGAGAGATCTTGTATTTCATTAGATGTTAATTGGAAGATATATGAAAGAAAGTTATAGTAAACTATATTATTCTTGAATTTAAACTTGGGCAAAGTCAAAAATTAATGAATTCATAAATCGTTCATAAAACGATCTGCTTAAGGATTATCGCTTACACATATCTATGAGTCCTAAGACCTAGAGCGTTATCACAGCCATTAAAAAAGATATTTATATCCTGACATAAAATCCGAAACATTATAGCATATCGTCTTATAAACTATTTACACTATTAAATAAGTACTTACGATTAATTGTGGTGGTCGTTGGCAATCTATAGCAATCGCTGATATATACTGTAAAATAATTTTAAAAGAAATATATTAATATTAAATATATATATTAAACTTTTAAAGGAATTTAATGTTATATATTTCATAATGGATAAATAAAAACAATAACCGAACACTCACTTGAAACACTTCCAACAGCACTAGAAAGGATAATACAATTTCAATCTTTGACATTTTGAAGATATGATTTTTGCTACTTTTATATATTTTTTTTATTTATATATTTATCCCACTTTTTTAAGTATTTTTTTATTATTATTAATTATTTTGTTTTTTTTTTTATTTTCTACGATAAAGTATGCTTACTGCTGAGCGTGCAGAACAAATAGCTTAAATTCGTTGAGTTACTATGACTTTTATAGTCCGATTATTTCAAAATTTTTGGTGAAACCCAAAAAAACAATATTATAACTTTTTAATTTTTTTTTATTTTATTAATAGAAAAATTGCGGGGAAATTTTGCTACTATTATTTTAAATAAATGTTGTGTTTGTAAAAAATTATAAACAAATTAGTTGCTCAGTTGATCACAAATGGAAAATGCTACTGTCTGCTAAGAGTGGTCGCATGGAAGTTTATATAAGCCACCAATGGATCGCCAAGCAACCGTGTATGTAATTCACATGTGTCATCTTTTTGGGTTGTTTATTTTTTCACATTAATTGCATATTCAGTGGCGCGTGACCACTGTCCACCAGCAGAGTCAAATTCATTTCTAATATCAATAGAGCGGTGATATTTTCATCAGGCGTATTTCATGCTATATGTAGCATCACAAATAGTGAGGTCAAAAACTTGCCTTCAACAAATCACTCACATTAGTTAGTTCCACATAATTGTTACTATTCATATTAGAGGGTTTATTGTCTTCATGTGAGGACTTAGTAAAACGTTTTGAACTTGAAAAATGTTTATGACTTTATTAAATATGTATAATTAAATTTATTTTTTATTCAGTTAATGAGTATGACTAAACCATTACGCAACTACAAATCGAAAATATAGAACTCACTTCGGTCAATTACCCACTAATTGAGTGTGAAAACTTCACTTCTGAATGACACATGAAAGTGAAAATATAGGTCATTGGAAGTTAGAAATTTTTGATATGAAAATCAGAAAAATAATTGACTAAAAATTTATAATTAATTGGCCAGTTAAAATCAAATTTAACATGTAAAAGTAATAATATAAAAATGTAATTTAAAACCGCGGATCAGAAATTGTCCCATTTATTATATTACATTACAACACGACTTTTTTCTACCTAATTGTATATACAATCTCATACACACAAAAATGTGACCTATTAGATCGTAAAAAATTATCTAAACTAAACACACACATCACTTAAATTTTTATAATCCATGTACTTATCCGTACTTAAACTTAACTTGCCGAAGATATTGGATTGGTATTAACTTGGTTAATTGAATAATACTTCTATTAACAGTAAAAATTATGTGGCACAAGTTGATCTATTAATTCTTATGATACATTCAGCTAAAAGAATTCTTGAGATAAATCTATCTCATTTGTTTCATTATCATAATTGTAAGCTACTATATAAGATGATAACAGAACCAATATGCACCTATTCAACGGCAACAGTCTAAAATCCCTAGACAAATAGTAAACGCAGAATGGTACGTAAGCAATTGAGCAGATAACTGACAAGCTTTTCCTTAACTTAATTGAATTTTGAAATATATTTAATGTCTTCAATAATTTAGACAGATGTATACTTGCTATGGAAAAAAAATAATTGTAAGCTACTACCACACTGTAGTAGACTTCACCAAAGCTTCTTTTTTCAATATGCAGGACTAATAGCTTTGATTTTCTGATTTCTATAATTGCGTCCTCATAATTTCAATAATTAATTCTATAATTAATTACTAATTGCGTCCTCATTTTTGCATCACCTATTTCTATTCTTTTCGGAATCTGTTTAATTGTGATATGAAAAGGCTTACGGATAACAGTAAAGTCGTTTAGAAGATTTTATATTGTTTATATATTCTACACATATATTACATTATACGTAAAATCGCAGACGTAAAATTGAGCGAAAAGCATATCCTGGTACAACTCCGGTATTTACATATAAATATTAACTAAATATTAATGAACAATATTTTATACTACAACCTATTGCATATATGTTACCTATAAAGGGTTGGAAAACTAGGATTGTATTTTAGACTAATAAGTATTAGAAGTGAATAGGAAATATAGAAATGGACTTATGAAATATTTCCATTGGTCGTTAATATTTATCGATAATAGTTTACCATTAATCGTTATTTGTATACAGAATTTTTAGACTTGATAAAGGACTATCGTATTACAAATACTTTATACAATTGTGAGAATTGCAGATCAACTGAGTATATATTTAAGGTTAATAAGTTTCAAACAAGATCAGGGCATCTAAAAACAGGCTAAATTGGTTCTTTGTATGACGCTATAACTATGACGCTAATATAGTCATTATTATTTTGTAAACAAAAGATTTTATTAGTGAAGGTCTTGAAATTCGCTAAGATACAGTAAAACGTAAGTCGGAGATGTATTTAACCTACTATTCGCATATTGCACAGTGGCTTAGTAAACAAGAATCACTTTTCTCGACTTCTTCACTTCTACTGCAAAAGTAATACAGATCCGTAAACAATAGGATGATTGATATCTTTACGGAATATTACTATAGAATAAAAAATTTATTCTGTATCAAACTTTCAGCGCTGGTAGATGGTTTACACGATTTCTTTATATTATTAAAACTTTAAAATTAAACAACTTACCTTTAAAGTTTTTTTAATAAAATTCGTTAACATTATTTTATGGCAAAAGGAAAGATTTGGCATTTTTATAGAATGAATTTTTACAAACATTTTGAATTTGTTCCTGAAATAAAAGTCAAGCAGCATTTTCTAAAAATAAAAAAAAAGGTTAATATAAATTCAGTATAAAACAATCAAAAATAAAAATGATAATATTTACAGCTAAAAAAAATGTAGAAGAATATAAACTATATTTCTAATATAGTTTGTATATTAGTCGCTACTAGAATTTACTATATTTAAGTCAGCACTAAAGATTATTGGTACGCTGTAAAAATTTATTCTTCATTTGCCAATCTGCGCTGAATTCATTTATATCAGTTC